AGTGAACTGCTTTGATTTAACATGAGGTGGAAAATGGTTCATCTTGGCAATGGGCCCTGACACTCCTGCTGAGCAGAGTCCAGATATTTTTCTGTTGTTCTTGGGGCTGGGTGTGTTTGTTTTGTTTTCTGTTGTTCTTGGGGCTGGGTGTGTTGTGGTTTTTTTTAAAAATAGGATGTCCATAAGAGAGAAATGTTCCAGTGATGAGCAGGGGCTCAGCGTGATTTGATTTGTGCTATTCATCAAGGGGAGCAGAGCCAAAATTTGTCTTGTATACAACAAATAACTGCTGTCGGACCTCAGATAAAATGTATGAATTGAAGTTGATTGCTGGGAATAATTTTCTGAGAGAGAAAGTGATTTTCTTTCTTTGAACATACTTTGTGTCCTCGTGCTTTCAAAGGCTAGCAGGCAAACTAGACTTGTTTTGTACTGATGAGGTCTACACTGAATAGTTTGCTCAGCCTGGGTTGAGATCTTGATGCTGTTTCAAAGAGGTAATACTAGTGTTTCAACTTAGGAAACATAACCGTAAGAGTATTAAAGCACTTCTCTGTGTGGGAAGAGGTCAAGGTAGCCTGACTTCAAGCAATGAAATCTGAAAATCTGTGCCTTTTATGTCTGTCACATAATTTTCCCTTCTGTAAGCAGAACATATGATAAATCAGATAAATGTCAATACCCATAACTTCAGGTTTACAATGATGATAAACCCTTATAACTGGACCCAGGAGTAGTTTGACACATTTAGCAATGCCTGTAAACTGTAACTCTTGCCTTCTGTGGTGTTTATTGTATATGCTAAATGAAGGAGGGGATATTATGAAAAATACAATATGAAGCTGTATAATTAACGATTGTAATAAAATGAGTTCGCAAAACAGGAAGGAACTAAAAGTGCAACTGTGAAAGTGCTTATATTGAGCTTTTAAGTGTGTAGTTCTATGTTTCTCTTTTTAAGTCTTTCTCCAAGTTTTACAGTATGGAGATGGGAATTAAATAAATAAAACCGTTACACCTTTGTGCCATTATGCATTGATATTATAGAGAGAAGGAGAAAGGAGAGGGAACAAGACTAGAATTTCATTGAGATAAAAGTTAGTAAAATTCTGCAACAATATTAAAAGAAACACCATTTGCATCATGGATGTTGTTTCCAAGAATACTAAGGTAGTCATATCTCTCTGTAATTTTTCTCCCTCTCTCCTCCTCCTCTGGAGAGGTGATGTGCTCAGACTGTCATGTAGAGGTTGCTGCTTTTGTCATAATGTATAAGTGTGTCTCTTCAGATGTTTGGTGGTTACTTTGGCCAGTTACCAGCCTTTGATTCAGGAGAATAAATGACTGAAGTGAAGGGATTATTTTCAGAAGGTAGGAATAGAGAGGAATATATATCCCTCTAGCCAGTGAGCAAGGTGTTTTTTCCCTTCCAGGTTCCAGAGGCACACTGGGAAAGCAGATGCTACAGCTTCTATGTGTTTTTATATCAGTGGGATACTTTAGGCAACATAAATAGAGGGTTACTGTCAATATTCATATAATGAATTCAGCTTCTGTTAAGCCTGATCTCACATATTGAAAATAAAATCAGAACTCAAACAAAATATATGAATGTTATGGCAGTATAAGAGGAAAGAGGAAAAAGAATGCCCAGGGACTGACTGACAATTCTATTTAGGAATGAAGCAGAATTTTTTTTTTATTTTCAGTATGGAAGCTCTGTGAAGAATATGTTAACAAATCTGGCAAGTTGTCATTGAGAGTTCTCACTTTTTTGGCTGACGCTGATTGACACTGTCCTTGTGTTTGGTGTAATTTCTTGAGTGTAGGTACCAGGACAGTAAGGACTGCATGGGAAGCGACAACAGGATTCCCACACGTGGCAACCACTGAGAGCAATTTTCTGCACCTGAATTTAGGGGTGTGCTGAAACTACTGGTGCAAATGAGCTAAAAGATTTAGTTAATTGAGAATTAGATACTAGAGTAACTTGGCTTAATGATATGATTATTCCAGCTTACTGTTTGTCATACAAGCTTTCCAAGATATTAAAATACATTAAAATATCTACTTAGTTTGAATATAATGGTATTCTTTCTCTAAATCTAAAAGGCCATGTCTAATTAAAATCATTATTCTACATACTTTTCAAAGAGGCTATTAAAGACATGTTTACAGATACTTAATTCACTCCTTAAATCTTACTGGTTTTTAAACTGGAAATCTGTAGGACCTTTTCCATTCAAGTATTTCATAACAAATAAAACGTTTGAAATAAAAACTGTGTAAAATTCCAGTTAGTTTAACTTTTGTGGTTGTTCTTTGAAGGATGCTTAATAGGAAGCATCATTTTGAATCCTTTTCGAAGACTTAGAAGTCAGAATTTCTGTCCTGATTCAACAAGCATTTGTAACCTAAAAATCTCACTAATTGATCTGATTTTGAATAGCCCCTTTCAAGCAAATTTACAGAATATGTACCTGATCAGACCATTCATTTTGAAACATTTAATTCACAATCCTCATCAAATCAGGCTTTATTATACTTCACATAGTTTTACTGGTATATTTCATGTTCTGCTATAGAAAATTTATCACTGTTAATCAGAATGCAAAGCTGTATTTGTCTGTGACATGTTATTTGCTAAGTAACATAAACACTCAAATTGTAAGCAAGAAGTTGTCGTCTGCCTCTGACAAGTTCCTACTTATTATGCTCTTGATAATTGTAACCTTTAATGCTTGCTCTCATTTCTAAAAACGCTAAGTGCAGATTAAATCATGACTGTTTTGCCTACATTCTGGTAACCCTGGAGTTTGGGGTTTTTTTGCTAGTAGACTGGATAATGAGACAGTACTGGTAATTCCTGTTAAACCTACCTAAATCTCCAAAACAGAGTCTATCTTAAAATATATTCATCATGTTTTATTTTTGAACTATCTTCTTTTGCCAGGCTACTTTGGCACAAAATCTGGAAGTTGTGACAACCATCTAATAAATGTGTGTCCTTTCAAGGGGGTAGGCATTCAGTTCTTCATGTTCTGGGCTACTGTAGGGTCTTCTCAAAGCAATGTGTGTTGAAGCTACTTGCAAAATGTTAATGCCTTAATAAAAGTATTTTTTATAGTAGCTCATGCTTGGTCAAAGGAACGTTAATGAGTAAAAGTGTAAGGATTACAACTTTGGTTCTGAAATATGGATAGAGCCTGTTACTTAAGCCAACCATTGCTAGGCTGAGGAGAGTGGAGGGTAATGAAGCTAGTTAGTCAAAACAGAGTGATGACTTGAATTGCTGGGTTAATCAAGTGCAATCCCTAATTAAGCAGTGTCTTTGTCACATCTGTTTGGCCATATATGAAACCAATCACACCTACGGTGTGGTCACAGTACAATGTAGCTCTTTAGATGCACGCCTGGTGAGCAATAGATGTGCTGGGTGTGCTTCATCTCTTTGGTTTCTATTTGGTTTATCTTTGTTCATCTTGTATCTGCTACCCAGTTCCCTTTGTGTGGAGCCAGAAATCTTCTCTATTTCTACAATGGTTAGTACAATAAGGTGCTGCTCTGTGATGAGCTATATCATTTTCATAAAAGAGCAAAGATAATTGACTGTGAGACTTACAAGAACACTTGTTCTCCCTCCCCATACCCAGCCCTTTGCACATCACATTTTATGAGGCAGACTCTGGGTTGTCTCATTCAAAGTAACATCCCAATTCCTTTTGGTTGCGTTACAGAGCTGTGGGCACCCGTGTCAAACAGCTGGAAAAGGTTTATTTCTACAGCGACGTGTATTGGTGCACAATAGATAGCAATGGTGAAATGTGAAATGATGTTATATCTTTTCCTTATTTTGGACTTGTGCAAAGGAGGTGGTGTTGTTTAGGTCCTCAAACCAGGACAGGAGGTTTCAAATGGAATTTGAGTTTCTTTGCATTTGTTTGAGTAAGAGGGGTTTTTTCAAGAAAAACTCAGGGCTTCTAATTTTGGAAATAAAGCTTCCACTGTTTCAGTGGGACATGGACCTAAATTTGAATGGATGTTCTGGATGGAATTATCCTTTTTTCTCTAATGCCAGCTTGTTCTTGCACACAATATTCAAGAAAGTTATTGCTATTCAGTAATAAATATGCATTCCTGAAACATGATGGACTAGGTTTCTGTAGGTATGTTTGCAGTTCATTAGCACAGGAGAAGTTGGTTTTGGTGTGCTTTTAAGTTCTTCTTAGCGTAAGCGTGTGATGTCCAGCACTTGAAGATCTGCTTATTGAATACCTATGTTTCTGAACAGTTTTGAGATATTTTCACACTGAAAGAAATCTTTAACCTTGATTGTCAGTTTTGGGATAATATGGGTGAGGAGGTGCAGGAAGAATTACCAGACTGTTGAAAATTCATTTTACTGAAGTTTATTATTTTCCTTGAAAATGAGAAGAAATAAATCTAAAACTCCTACATGAAAAAGAATATTGAGTTGGGAAAATGCTATCAGGGAGCTAACCTTCTAAAGTTTTCGATTACTTGCAGTTTTGAATTATGAAATTTAGCACGAAGTCCCCATGAATTTGCTCATCATGGTCAAGTGATGAGATCTTTGCCCTATCACTTAGTTGTTACAATGATTTACTGAAAAGGATATTGATCTATGCAGTAGCCGGTATTACCAGGTAAGAATTAGAGGGTTTTTTCTTTCCTATTTTACCCCAGAATAACCAATTTAAATTGCTTTCAGTTTCTAGAGTGTTTTGAAGGGTTTCGATGTGCAATCCTCTTTCTGTGAGAGCAGGTTTTAATGCAAAGACATAGCCATTTAGAATTCTATAAGAGTTGATGTTGTGCCATGGTGCATCTATCTTGTCTTCTTATCTGTGTCTTTGCTGGTGACTTGAAGGTGGTATTATCCATGTATAAAATAAAACCAGTATGATCAAATATTTAAAAGGTCCCTTAATATTTCAGTAACTCTCAGTAATAAAACTCTATTTTTTTCTCCCTTTCAGAACAAAAGCCTCAAAACCAAGCTCCTGTCAGGAAACAAGCTTTGTGGTATTCATGCAGAAGAGGTAAGTAAGTTACTCTCTATTTGGGATCTAACACAACCCCCAAAAGCTTGCATAATAGTCTTTTCTACTGAGGTTCAGGTATAGGTTATGTATTATGTGTATATGCTGAGTGTTCCTGAAGTGTTCTCATCTCAACTTATTTCTGTGACTTCGCTAGAAGCAACTTGAATGTATTAGAAGCAAGCTGCAAACTCAAGTTTTAGACAAATAAAATAAAGTTTGTGCATGCTTATGAAAAGTATATATGAAAAGTATATATATATACATCCTGTAGATGTATATCATACATCTGTAACATGTATAAAACTGATGTCCTTTCCCTGATCTCTCTGCTTAGAATAAGACAGGAAGAGCTAAATACCTTCTAAAAAATAATTTATAGAGACAAGAAAGATTTATTATTATTCATTTCTAGAATGTATTACTTCAAGGTAAAAAGGGTCACTTTGAAAAATACAGGGGAAGGAATCTTCTTTCTACTGAGGAGTGAACTAGCAAAGACATTGATGATACAAAAGCTCTGTATTTTGCAAATACATAAATGTACAGCTAAATACATTCACATTAGCAGTCCCTTTAGCTATTTAACTTTTCATGACAGAGAATATTACTATATATGAATCTCAATTACGTGACTTTCGCAGAATTTATATTTGCAAAGAAACATGACTAAAGTCAGTGCACCTTGTCAGAATGAAACAGAAGTATAACACTTTTCTTCTTGACTAAAATTTTCATAGTTGTGCTTGAATGTTACCTAGTTATATTAGTTATTTAGCCTAACTGAAGATCTGCAAGCGATCTGCAAGCACTGTTTCTGGGAAATCCTCAATGGTAGGAAATAATAGGGGTTTAGGTTTGGTTTTTTTCTATATTTTTTTTTTTGCTAACTTTTCAAAATCTGTGTTACTTCCTATATCACCACTGTTGCTTTCAAACATGCCACAGTATATTAATACAAATATATTTTCTTCCCTTGTTTACTGCTAAAAAAATTGGCAGTGTGTTCAACATAGCTTTCTGTTTTCCTCTCTATTTCAAGTTTGTTTTTCCTTGCTGCATAACATCTTGAATGTTTGGTAATTAACTTGAAGATCTTTTCCCTGATTATGTCTCCTTTAATATTTGCAACATAAATTTCTTTAAATCTAAGGGTGAAGCCTAGGATTAAATTAAATTTAGTGTAGTGTGACAAGCCTTGCTGTCAGAGAATTTCAAAAAACTAAACATAAGCTAGCTAGCTCTCAAGGCAGCAGATTGTGAGTGTATTTTAAACATTAAGAATCTCAGACTTTATTAATCATCCTGGCAAATATGTGGCTTATAAGTGGGTTAGTGCCATTAGAACAAGCAAAGTTGCTACTGGAGCACCCTTTTTTGTTATTGTTTTGCCAGTTAGGTGGTGTCAGCCACAGAAACATAGTGCATTTTCTGCTCTTTAATGAGTACTGTACTCACCAAGCATAACAACTGTGTGGAATCAGTATTCTTTCAGTTATTAGATCAAATACCCTTCATGGATACAATTGCCTACCAGGAAGCTCCTGCTTCGTTCTGCTCTCTCCAACTGCAGACAGACAATTTTAGTGTGTCCTGTGATTCCTTGTTGTCCAGCTGCATAGATGGGAGCATTTTTATGGCTGGCTTTTCTTCTCCAGGGATTCACACCAAACCTCAAACATCTCAGGATACAGAAATGGAAATATTGCCAGATGCTGTGGTTTAGGAATGGCCATCAACCTTTGTCTAGAGGTGGTCTTACCTGGCTGACTGCACTAAAAAGTGTCAGTTTTGTAAGTCCTCTCCCTAGAAGCACAGAAAAAACACAAACCAAACAAATCTTATCACAAAGAACTACAGGTCATATGTGTGCTTTTGAGTCACTTATATTACTCACTGGATATATATAGCTCCATAACTCTTAATTACATCACAGGTTTGTGATTTAGTGAATGAGTGATACCTTGATCATAACTCTTAGGTTCCTCTACATCCAGTTTGGATACCTTGTGTGTCACAGAGGCTGTATACGTTCTTAAGTGCAACACCTAGAACAATTAAAGTCAGTTAAGGTTTTATCATTGGTCTTTAGTTGATGAGGAATGTATTTCATAGCTCTACCAACTGTCCAGATCAGAAGACAGGGCTACTGAGTCTAGGCAATTGGCACGTTCTGCTGTGTAGATGAAATAACAGCAGATAGGGTTACAGAAGAAAGAAGTGAACACAACTGGTCTTGGCTATTTGTTTCAGATTTTATGGACTACAATAACCAATTTGGTTGTATTTCTTAAATATTTAAAGCAGGTGCTAGAATTTTATCTTTAGATTCATTTCTCCTTCCCAAAATTCTGTCACAGAATTTGACTGTACTAATTGGAAAGACATCAAATCTTTCTAAAAGCTCCAATTTACAGAAGAGATGCTACCATCTGTAATATGTTATATTTATGGATGTGCTGTTTCAGTAAACGTGGAATAGACTTCTAATCCATTCCAGTGAGTTCTAAACAGTTGGTATTAAGTAATGTGAGAAAGCTTATTGAATATCAGTTGAGACTGTGGATTTTGTGTAATATAAATTATTATGTTAACAAAATTCTTAGATAAAGAGTGAAATAGTTGTGTGATATATAAAAAAATCCCCTCATTTCTATTATATTTTGGTCACGTAAGTAAAAGAATGTATAGACCACTACTTACAATTATTTGAAGGATAAATTTGATAATATTTAAAATAAATATCAGCCTAAGGTGATATAAATCAGCATAAATATGCCTATTTTAGAGGACATGGTCACAAACTGAGAACTTAGTTCATTTGGATAGTCTCTGAAACTCCCTAGCCATTAAAAAGAAGAATCTATGCAACACTATGGAAACTTTTTCCCTCTAAGAAAAAGAAAACTCTTCAAAGGTGATGCCTTTAGTTATGCTTCATGAAAAGTATGAAAAGTATTAATAACATCTCATGTCTAAGCCCAATGGTTATTCACAATAGTGTGAATTAATGTATGTTCTTTAGGTGAGTTCCATTTTACATTTTCCTTGATACTTTTGCTACCCTGGAAAAGAAATTGACTGATTTTGATTATTCTTCTGCATTTTATAGCTGATCTAGTTTCTGCTGTTGTCAGAACTTAATACCCTTTTTTTTTCTTTCTGTTCTTAAAAGTAAATATTTAAAATTTAAAACCCCCTGATTTTATTCTCCTTAATTTCAGTCCAAAAAGATCCAAGCCCAGCTGAAAGAGCTTCGTTATGGGAAAAAGGATTTGATTTTTAAGGTAAGTTTTATTTCACTATATTTAGCTAAAGTATTAGATTTAATGTAGTATTGAAGTAATGTAGGAGTATGATAGCTGCCTTTATTACTGTAGTTCTAAGGAATCATTTCCTTCTCAAGATACCGAAAAGACCTCAAAGCACCAAAGACAGACATAGTACCGTAATGCAATTTCAGAAATAGAATCTATTTTGGTTGGTTTTTTGCAAACCACTCTAACAGGGGCAGTGCTTTTTATTAAATTACTTTTGCAAGGAATAAAAGAGTCAAAGCCTCGAAAGTTGTCTTTGTTTTTAAATTGACAGAAGCAGTGGAAAGTATTTAGTTTATGAATATTTACATGCTCACATAAAACAATGTTCTAGTTTCCTGCTGGTGACCAAAATCTCTTGCCCTGTTCCATAGATTCTCTCATGCATTTCTCATCTTTCTAACTGAACAATATTTTACAGATTTTTTTATTATTTTCAGCAGTTCTCCAGGGCAATATCAGTTATTGCTCAAGATACAGACCTGTTGGAGTGGGTCCAGAGGAGGGCTACAAAAACGATGATAGGGCTGGAGCACCTCTCTTATGAGGACAGACGGAGAGAGTTGGGGTTGTTCAGCCTGGAGAAGACAGGGCTCTGGGGAGACCTTATAGCAACTTTTCAATACCTAAAGGGGGCTTTTAGAAAAATGAGGATAGACTTTTTAATAGGTCCTGTAGTGATAGGGCAAAGAGTAATGGTTTTAAACTAAAAGAAAGTAGATTCAGACTAGATACAAGGAAGGTATTTTTTATACTGACAGTGGTGAAACACTGGCAGAGATTGCCCAGGGAGATGGTGGATGCCCCATCCCTGGAAACGTTCAAGGTCAGGTTGGATGGAGCTCTGGGCAACCTGATCGAGTTGAAGATGTCCCTGCTCATTGCAGGGCGGTTGGACTAGATGGTCTTTAAAGGTCCAAACCATTCTATGACTGCCAGCACCTTAAAGCAAATTTTTGTGTTTGTGATAAGCTTGGGCAATGGAATGTTCCTCAGGTCCCTGGATCCAAATTCCTGCTATATGCTGACACACCTTTATCAAAACTAAACCTTCTAGAAAAAAAAAGTCTGGTGATTTATACAATCCAAATGAATAGCCAGTCTAGCCTGCATATTAAAAAAAAAAAAGAAAAAAGAAGAGGGGGTGAGAGGGAGGCAGGGGAAAAAAAAAAAGAAAGAAAATACAGACATTTTGCTGAAGTGCATCAAGTCCTTGTTAACACAGAGAAAAGTTAATCCCTGTTAAAGAAGGAAGAGAGGGATTGAGGTCACCTGACTGGAGGCTGCTAATTGAGTAGTGCTTTTATTACTGGCATAAAGGATGAAGATAAGTAGTCATCTTCAAAGTGACTAGAGCTAGAATTTCTTATAAAGTAATTCATCTCAATAAGAGGTCCAAATTGCCTTCTGGAAGTATTTAACTCTCTCTACTGTCTCTCTATTGTATGCATAGTACTGTAAAGATGATGGAGCTCTGGGCAACCTGATCGAGTTGAAGATGTCCCTGCTCATTGCAGGGGGGTTGGACTAGATGGTCTTTAAAGGTCCAAACCATTCTATGACTGCCAGCACCTTAAAGCAAATTTTTGTGTTTGTGATAATTTCTTGAAATTCAGTTTAGCTATAATTGCTAGTTTGGACAGAGGAAAAAAAATTACAGCTTCTAAACTTGCCTGGGTGCTAAAGCTTCTTTTCTTCGGCTGAGGCAGAAGGATTGTTCAGTACTACTGTCTACGTGTTGTTTTCATCATGCTAATATGCAGTGACCCCCAAAATGGGTCTGAATTATGCAAGATTGTGTAGTAATGCTTAGCAAGGGAATGCTCCTACTTGCTTTTTAGAGGAATTATTAACTAGTGTAATTAAAAACACTTTGAGAACTTTAGACGGGTGATGTTAATGAATTGTGAAGTTGATTCCTAAGTACTGAGAAAGGCACATGCAAATATCTGAAACATCTCTTGACTCTGTGCGTGACTGTTTACATGACTGCCTGACTTGCTAATTTGATATAGCCTTCATGTGTAGTCATAAATATTTTTTCGGGTTTATTTGTTAGTCTTTTTTCTGTTGGTCTTTTTTTCTGACTGAAGGAAATCTGATTTCTGAAGAAAAGGGAACAGCAAACGTACTATCCTCAAAAATAAATGTGATATGTGGGAAAGAGTAGGTTGAGTGTGCTGTTTTGTGTGTGTTTCAGGTCTGAAGTAAGAAATGCTGAATGGAGTAGAAGCCATTTTGTATAGAGTGGAAAGATTTTAAAATATCTGTCTGATCAGAGAGACACTGCTAGGTTTGGGCACGAACAGGTGGTATTTAATCTCTAGTTGCTTTGAGCCTAGGAACTAAACAGATTTCCTGTTATCGTTGCTGTTGAGGCTGTTTTGTGAGGCTCTGATTCTTTCTGATAAAAGATCAAAACAGTGGATGGATAGTCTTCTGCCAGCACAGAGCATGAATGGTGTGTGTGATAATCTCCGGGCTCCTAGTTACTGTCACATTACAGGATTCTACCCTTCCACCACATTCCTACCTCGTAAAACCTTATATTTTCTGTATGTCCTACTGAGGACTTTAGGGAATTCTGTTCTCTGTATAGCTCTGAACGTTGCAAGCTTCTCCCAGCAGTTCACCAGAAGAATGTAAACTTGTAATTTGTTGAATTAATTGTGAAGATCTATGTGAAGTAAGTAGGGTGGGTTTTTGTTTGCTTTCTATTCTGCATAATCATCACCGAGAAACTAGTTCTTAAATTGTGATAACTATTGATGTCAGTGATTCCATACTGACTAGAGCTGGGGGGATGAAGTGGGAGAGGGAGATAAAGGTGGAGAAAAGAGAGTTTTCTCCTTTATAGTCCAGTGAATTGGTAAATTGTGTCTACTTTTCACAATATGTTACAGTAACTTAATAAGTGGTCGTAAATAAAACATAAGTTCGTCCTATTTGGCATGTATTTACTCTTACGTTTTCAAAGTGTTTAGTAGTCTAGCTGATTAAATATGTGGCATATGCATATATATCTCTATATTTTTCTGTCTCTATGTGTGATATAATACCATATGACTGTTAAGCAGTGAGAGTCACAGAAGTTAAGTGATGTGCTCAAGGCTATAGAGGTTGTCAGTGTCACTGCTGAGATTAGAATTTGAGCTCTTGTCTTTTTGTCAGAGTTCAGTCCCTTACATTGTGCAGTGTAGTATCCTTAAAGAGTTGGCAAAAGTTGACATTTGCTTTGTATTAAAATGAGAAAAATAAGGAATCATTAATAAAAATCTTTGCTTAAGCTTCTTAATTTTATAGCTGCCTTTGTAAGAAGGTACTTACTAGTTCTGAATGAGTCTGCTTTTAATTACAATAATTTAATTATGGTCCTAAAACTCTGAGTCAGTGAAGTACTCTTAAGTTTAAATGCTTTTCTGAATTAAGTGCTACGTTTATTTCATGCATTCGTACCCACTTGTTTTCAAATTACTCCTTCTTCATTAACTGAGTTCCCATCATTTGGCTATACTGTCCTAGAAGTCACATGTTTTAGTAAATTAAAAAAGAATTAAAAATAATTTGGTTTTTTATTCATGAAATGCAGACATATGTTTGAGTCTGAAAAAATATAAGATGAAGAAAAATAAACCCAGCAAGAACTTTCACTGTCAGTTTTTGCAAGTATCTTGTATTTTTGAAACTATTGTTCTTTTAAATGTAAAAGTTGAGACTGGTTCATTCTTATGTCTTGAGTATATTTTTGTTTAGCATTTTTATCATTAATTTCTAAGGATTCTGCTTCAGAGTTGCAGAATTATGAATTTAATCTGTTGTTTTATCTATTTCCCTTTTGTCATTTAAATTCTGAGATGAAGTATTTTGATAGACAGCCCTAAAAAACTTGTATTTCCCTTTTGTCATTTAAATTCTGAGACAAAGTATTTTGATAGACAGCCCTAAAATCTCCAATGTGAGCAACAGCTAACTAACCTTAGCCTACTACTGTACTTAATCTTTGTTCCATAGTAGAATTTAAATTTAAATAAGCAAATAAATAGCATCTGCCTTGCAACAAACTAGGTAATTGCTAATAAGTATTCTGCTTGTGGTCTTATCATGAGCAGGATGGTTTGTAATTACGCACCTTCCTCTGAAGAGCAAACCATGTTTGCTCCAGTTGGGTCCACAGTTGGGGCCAGTTCCTGAAGCACAGCTGTCAAGGTGGCTATTTACACCGGTGACCTGCTTGCCTGTGGCCCGGGGAGACTTCTTCACATGTTTAGAGCCACCAGGTGCTTGCTTATAGGAATCTTACTTCCAAAGCCTGACAACCTCTGCTGCTCCTCACAGCGGTCTAGCTTGTTTCTGTGGTGGTGTTCTTGAACCCACATGTTTCTGTGAACTGCAGTATCACAAATTAAGACCAGGATTGTCGCTTCCCTTCAGTTCTCTTTTATAGTCCTAAATAGTGTTTCAGGTACTGAGCGCTCAGTACCTCGAAAAGGCTATTCCATACCACACCAATATCTCCAATTTAGGCTTGTCTTATAACCACTTACACAGGCTTATATGAGAAGGGTTACAAATAATGGGATTTTTTTTTCTTGCAAAGCCTTGTTTCGAGAAAGTATTTTTGTCTGGGAAACACCTGAATTGACTTATAAATAAGGGGCAAAGGATGTGTTTTAAAGACTTACCTAACTAGACCTATAAAGGTTTGACTTTTATAGTCAAAACCATTTTCCAAATTCCTTGAAACAGAGTGCTACACCAATCAGTTAATTATTAGGATGTGTGAAAGTCATTTTATACCATGCACTTGATATGGTAAACAAAGTCAAAGAAAAACAAAATGATGTGAAATTGTTTTCACATCATATTGTCTGGGTATGGTAAATATTTATACCATTCCTCCCTCTGAAGTAAAATACGTGTTTTGCTCCTTATTAGAACTAGTTAATTACATGCCACGGTAAGCCTATTTT